AAAAAAAAAAAAAAAAAAAAGAGGCACCTTCTTAGAAATTCCAAGTATTTTTTCCAATGTTTTATAGCAGAGAAAGAGGTTTAATTGTAGGGTCACCAAAAAAAGACATGAGAGGGAACCTCAAATCTGTCTTCCCGAGAAGCTTGAGAATTGAGAATTCTCTCTTTTTTTTGAGATGGAGTCTTGCCCTGTTGCCCAGGCTGGAGTGCAGTGGTGCGATCTCGGCTCACTGCCCCCTCTGCCTCCGCCTCCTGAGTAGCTGGGATTATAGGTTTGTGCCACCAGGCCTGGCTAATTTTTGTATTTTTAGTTGAGACAGGGTTTCGCCATGTTGGCCAGGGTAGTCTTGAACTCCTGATCTCAGGTAATCCGCCCGCCTTGACGTCCTAAAATGCTGAAATTACAGGAGTGAATCACCATGCTCAGCCAAGAACTCCTATTTCTTAATCAGGCTACCTAGGTGGTAGAAGCATGGGCTCACGTCTTGGCCGGGGTCTCTAGCTGTGTGACCTTGGACAAGTTTCTTTCCCTTTCTGAACCTCAGCTTCATCATCTCTAAAATGGGAATTTTACTGTTTGCCACCTGAGCTGATGCTGTTTAGCAATGGAAATAGAAACCAAGCCTGAAGCTCTGTCAGCTTGTGCTGAGACTTGAGATAAACCGGGGCAAAGGGCTGATGAGGTGGAGGAGCCAAGGGTAGAGGAATTTATGGCAGCCCAGGGTTTATGGTTTTGATATGGATTTATTAAGCACAATTTAGGACTGAAATAGTCTCCTCTGGCCCCCACTCCCCCATGTCCCTGATGGCGGCGGCATGGACAAGGCCTCCATTGCAACGTTATCGAAAACATTTCCTGGTGCTGACGGGTAGAGGGAAGGCACAGGGGAAGGCGGGAGGGGCCCTAGGGATCAGGCAGACCGCGAATGGGTGCTCTGGAGGCTGGAGAGCTTAATAGTTAACCTCGTGCTAGAAAGGGGCACATGAAGAGTTCACTTGTACTGCCCATGTAACGGGAGCTCTCACAGTTACTGTGATTTCATTCCATTGCATTTTGACATCTTTCCTGTAGGGAGCGATCATTCCCACTTTGCAGATGAGGCTCGGAGCGGTAGAGTGAACTGCCCAAGTTTACAGTGATCAGCAAGACGTGTGCCTCCCAGACCAGAACTTTTGTCTCCTCCTTTAAGGAAGAGCTAAAAGGATCACCCTGCTCTACCCTCATCCCCAATGAAGATGTCCCTGTATGCAGCCATCCCACAGTCCAGCTATTGCCAAATGCTGTTGTGTGCTGGTGAATGTTAACAACCGGCTCTCCAGGAACAAAAGCCCTGCTCTGTATAGCTTGCTAGTCCTTGCAGTGTAAACACTCCAGCAATAGCCAATTTCAAGCTATCAGCATGACATTGGCAAACATTGAGTTGGAAAGAGAAGCTAGCAGTCAGCTCTAATAAGCCAGCTCCAGTACAATCCCGAGTGATGTGATGCTGTGGCTGAGACACAAGGCCACCTTCTATAATAGTTTAGCCATGGAGAGGACCTAAGTAGCTACAGGTCTGGCTGGAGATTCTCAAGTGCATCCCTTGCTTTTATTTTTTTTACTTATTATTTCTGTTTTGAGACAGGGTCTTGCTCTTTCACCCAGGCTGTAGTGCAGTTGTGCGTTCATAGCTCACTGCAGCCTCGAACTCATGGGGGGAAGCAATCCTTTCTCCTCATCCTTCAGAGTAGCTGGTACTATAGGTGCACACCACCACACATGGCTAATTTTAAAATTTTCTGTAGAGATGGGGTTTCCCTATGTTGCTCTGGCTGGTCTCAAACTCCTGAGCTCAAGTGATCCTCCTGGCTCAGCCTCCCAAAGTGCTGGGGTTACAGATGTGAGCCGCTATGCACAGCCTTGTCCTTCGAAAAATAAAACAACAATAACAACAGCAAAATCATTTGCTTTTATGAAATGCCGCCAAGGCTGCTCATCTCCCAATCCTGGCAGATTGAGGTGGCCCAGAAAACGGCTCTGTCTTGGACCTTGGTGGAGGATGACAGACCCTTGGACCCTCTCGCCATGCTTCCAGATCTTTCCATTGTACTCTCCCTCACCACTCCCGTCTTCAGGAGGGGGAATCAACTTTCGTTCCTTCATACACTATGTGCTTGGAGTCAGGAGACCAGGGCTAGTTGTTTACCTCTGCCTCTCAAGATAAATCACTTCCACAAGCCTCAGTCTCCTCATCTGGGAAGAGGGAATAATCACGTCTAACTGCTTACCTCTTGATGTGAAGACTGAAAAAATTATAATGGATACAAAAACATTCTGCACATCACAAAGAACTATAAAACCATTCTCATTCTTCCTTTAAAACATTTTTTTTAACCTCCAAGTAGAACCAGAAGACTCAGTCTTATTTCTGACACCTGGAAGAAAGAAAAGATACTCATCCAAGGACTTAGAAAACATATGTGCCATTTATTTTGTTTTATAAACTTTTGTTAAAACACACAAGAGTAAGAAATGTTTTTTTGTTTCTTTGCCCCATCAGGCGGCAGTGATGGGGGCTCAGGGGTCAGCACAGGACCTGATGACATTCACACCCACAGAAAGATGTGGGTCGGTCTGATGAGACCCAGCCCGCTTTGATAATTGCTTGATGCAAATGTCACAATTCATCTTAATCAGGGCAGATGGCAGAAAAATTTGGCAAAAAGTAATTGTCTTGGTCATGACAAGAGACAGAAGAGTGTTCCTTTCTGACCCTCTCCTCTCCTCTGGCCACTTTCAGGAGAGCCATGTGGATTTTAGAGGCTCCTGAGACCTGCCTGAAGATTGGGGTGTCTTGGTGCGGGAAGTGTTGTGCCCATGCTTATCCCCCCAGCAACCCTCTGTTAGTCCATCAGATTTTACGTTTTAGGACCACAATTCAGGTAGAAAAAAAAAAGAAAGAGATTTTTCTAATGTCGTGTCAATTTAGAGTCAAAAAAGTAAACTTTGTGTTTCTCACATTACAATAAATTTATGAAAGTGGAATGGGTTTCTCATCCAGAAAGGGGTAGATTCCCAGCAGAGAACTGACCCCCTGCTCCAAAAGATTGCTCCCATGAAGGGCCACTGTGCCCACTGCACTCCATGGGACATTCTTATCTCAGCTTTGCTCCCGTGACAGAGGCCTGAGCAACACTGGAGGGAGGGGAGGAGGAACAGAGCGGAATGACCACAACACCCAGAAGTGGTTCCAGCTTCCCTGCCTTGCTGCAGACCAGGCTGAGCTGTCTGGCGGGGATTTCGGGGGCACTTAGTGAGGTGGTGGAGGAAGTCTTGGGAGCTCTGAGAGGCGTGCAGTCTCTCCTGGGACTGGGGGCTTGGCTGGGACTGCCCTGGGGGTGTGGCGACTCCTCTCTGACCCATCTCCCCAATACTTCTTCATGCCTCTTACACATAAAGAACAATCACTAATGGTGGGATTTCTGGGGACGGGGCACTGGCTCTACCCACTCAGAGGGGTCAGTGTTGATCGGGGGGGCAGAAGTCAGCCTAACAGTTCCCCTCCTACCTAATCACACCTCCAGCCCCAGGACGCATTCCTTTTGCTCACACTGGTCAGTGGCATTTTCCAGAATGTCCCCAAAGCCACCAAGATTTCACATGGATGACATGCTGGTCGCTCCATTGGGGGGTCTAATGTTTCCAGAATGCGCCTGGAGTGACGGTCCCCAGAGCAGGCCTCAAACCCAGGCCTGCTTAGTCCTCCCCTGCCCCCCCATGGGCACACTGTCCCACCCCCACACCAAGAGGCCAGATGACCCTGGCTCCCAGGAAACAGACCCCTGCCGCCCCTCCCCTAGACTTGGGGAGTGAAGAGAGAAAAGCTGTCAAGAGTCATGAATTCTTCTTAATATTTATCAGCAAACAGGATGCTCCACTCTAAGTGAATTTTGGTGCAGCCTCAGGCCAGTCTTAGTCCTGGGAGTGGGCAGGGCTCCCAGAAGAACGAGTGGTGGCTTCTGAGGCTGGCGAAGGGAACCAGAAGCTCCTCAACTTGATTACGGTGAGAACGAAGGGAGCCTTTGGAGAAGCTATTGAGCCACTGTAGTTAAGAGCTCCTGTTCTGATCCAGGGAGACCTGGGTTCAAGTCCTGACTCAGCCACTTCCTAGTTGTGTGAGTTTCAGAAAAAAATCACTTCACCTCTTTTGGCTCAGAGCATGTGTAGAACACAATTCCATCTTCCGTAACAATCGCTAGGGGGTGGTGGGGTGGGTGAGTGCTGGGGGAGGGGAGAATAAAAAACAAAAACAAAGACAATCTCTAGGTTAATGGGGAGGAAGGGAGGATTAAATGAGACGGTGCACGTCATATGCCTTACAATAGTGCCTGGGAGTAAGGCAGAACTTGAGACCGGCCTTGGGAGATCATTGCTCCCGGATGTCACTCTGATGTGAAGGTTTACCCATCTGTCCTTGCCAGCCCCAAGCCTCATTACTCCCACCCGCATTATATCAGCCACCCTACCCAGCTCCCCGTCTCCCATCCTCTGCAGAACTGCTGTGTTCATTTCCCAGAAGCCCAGCTCCCTGCATACCCCTTGCAGCTGATCAGGACCTCAGCCTGGTATCCAGACCCTGCGCTCTCCAGCAGGCCCTCTCTCTCTTCATTGTCTCTCTCCCACATCATTCTTCCTCCAGCCTTGCTAGATCCTTCCTACCTCGAGGTCTTGGCTCAGGCTGTTCTTTGGAATGTCCCATCTCTCCTGCTCTACTGGCCAGAATTCTCCCCTTTCTCAAAGGCCTAGTACATGGTTTCCTTCTTTCTGATGCTTTTCCTCCCCACTCCAGCCTCCCTCCAGGTTCCTGTTGCAGTTGCCAATCTGGGCTTGTTTTCTCAGGTGAAAAGCCTGCAGAGATCCTCACCCCGAATACCCACCCAGGACCCTGAAGGGTGCCTGGGGGTTGGAGGAAGGCATCTTCCCTAGCCACGGCCTTCTATGCCCTGCCTGACCCCAGTCAGTGCTTCCAACGTGTTACCAGAATGACTGGGGGAATCGTTTCCAAGTCTTCCTCAGCCTCTGGAGAGGTGGTGTTGGAGAAGACAGGATGGCGGAGGAAGTGAGAGCAGAGAGAGGGGGGCGTTTGAGGTGGGGGCAGCAGAAGGAGGAGGAGCGAGATGCCCCAAGTGCTGCGATTGGACCTAGCCTCACGGGGCTCTGTCTGGTCACCATGGCTGGGGCTAGTAGAGGAGCACCAGGCTAGGGGAGAAGGGAGCTGGGTTTAAGTAAGGCCTCAAGTCATCTCCAGAAAGCTGTGAAGGGGTGAAGTCAGGGTTTGGACATGGATGAAGGTGAAGACAGTTGCTTCAATATGAGAAAAGTTGTCCATGGCAGTAGAGGACTTTCCGGGGTCCCCCCCAAGTCAAAGTCTCGTTATTCAGAGCAGGGTATCAAGGGTGGCAATGGAATGTGGCCCTTAGCCCATGTTCTCAGGCCCTTCATCTTTTCCATTCCTGCTCTGGGACTAGCCCTGGCGTCATGTCTGCCTTTGCCATGACCACATGATCACCAGGCACTCTCGGAGGGAGTCAGGGGAGCCAGCGGAGCCCCCAAGCCCCAGCAGCTTGCTAGATAACTTCCTGCTTGGTGATGGTTGGCTGGGGGATAGCGGAGAGGGGCTTGACGATCGTGGCGACAGCCCCTGGGAGGAGCTTATAAGGCTCAGACCCTGAGCCACCTGGTGGTGAAGGCTGTGGGGTCTCAGGGGTGGCTGGAAGGACAAACAGACAGACAGGGGCTACTCAAAATTCCGGCCTTTGGGGGAGTCAACAAAGAGCCCTGGGAAAGTTCTGCCTCCTCCCCCTCCTCCTCCCCTGCCCCTGCCCCTACCCCCGCCCCAACTTAATTTCTTACTCTATAAAATAAGAGAATTAATTAAACCAGATAATCCCTAAGGCCTTTTATGGCTCAGACCTTCTATGAGTCCCAGATGATAAAGCCTAAGTTGTATGAGGTCTGGACGTTCCTACCACCCATCTCCTCCATCATTTATTTGATATGCAGACTTGGACTGCTTCTCCCAAACCAAGCCCAGGACTGGCTGTCCCCAAGGGCAGTGGGATGGGTGACAGGGATATTCCTTCCTGGGAGAAGGAGCAGCAGTTGATGAGACCCAGGGCCAACTGGCTCAAAAAATATCATTTCTTGGAGATTTAGGAGATGAGTAATGGAAACTCACTGGCCTCACTCTCACGGTAGGTTTGAGAATAACTTTGACCCAATTGACCAACTTTGTTCAATGGGCAACGGTCCCTAAGAACATCAGAAAAATGCCGTCTCATCTCAGTGGACCACCTCATCCCATTGATAATCTTATTCTTTGGAGAGTTTTGCCCAGTGACAAGTTTGCACTTTGGAGGGTTCAGAGGATGGCCTAGCCCAGCAGACGTCCTGACCCAACGGATGAGCAGCTTTATTGCAGTGAACACTTTTACCTAATGGACAACGTCACCTAATGGAATTCTCACTCCAGAACATCCTCACCCAATGGACTACCTCATCCAGTGGATTACCTCATCCCAGCAAAGGCTGTCAATCACCTTACTGAATAAACAGCTCCAACCAACGGACAAACTTGCCCTTTGTTCCCTACCCTGGAGCCTAGAAAACGGTTGCATCCTGGTTCTACCTTCTAGACTCTGCCTTCTCCTGCCTCCTCTCTTAAGCCCCACCCTCACCTTTTGCAGAGTAGAGCCCCAGTTGCCCACCTGCCTGCCCCCTGGGCCGGGGCCACTCACACATCTGTCCGTTGCTGAGGTGAGTGGGCATTGTGTTGGCAACAATGACGTTGGTTCCCATGTGTTCCTGCATCAGGTGAGGGTGCAGGGGGTGGTGGGCATGGGGTGCATCGCTGGAGGACCCTGCGGGTAAAGAAGGTCAATCAGGATGGAGCGTCTGGGATGCAGACCCCAGGCCTTGGGACGTCATCTTCCTCAGGTGTGGCCAACCAACCTGCCCATCCAACATTGGCAGTGCCTGTTGGGTACCTATTCCTGGGTTAGTAAACAGGGTGTACATTCCCATCCATAGCCTTCATGAGGGTGTTAAGAGAACTCCAACAAACCAAAAGAACAAAAGCGACTTGAAAGAAACAAGGTGCATATAAGGAAGCTCTGAGATCACTTAAATGTTCTAATGAGTAGGGTATTGGTCACATAGCAGCATAATAGATGTAGACAATGGCTCGCACAGCTCCTTGGCATGCACGTCCTTCAACCATTTGGTCCTGCCTCACCTTTCAGCCTCATACCCCACATCTCTGCTGCAGCCAAGCTGACCTACTTACAGCATCTATGCGTCCCCTGTGTCTTCCTGTCTCTATGCTTCTGCTCACACTGGTGATTCCATCAGAGATGTTTTTCCCCCCGACCCCCACTCCATGTCCATAAGCCCAAATCTCAGCTCACATACGTCCCCCCTTTAGAAGTCTCTTCTCCTCATTCTCCTTCCTAGGATTTCTCATAGTAATTTATCTGTAACACAACTTTTAGCAACAATCACTTCTTCTGCCTATTAGCATCACCATTTCAGATGTATTTTTCTTCTTTCTTTGAGGGCCTAGCAGATTGGAACACAGTGACTACTTCAAACTTGTGTCAGGGAGTAAAAATAACAGATGGGGTGTGGTTTAATAATAGCCTATGGTGAGTAATATGACAATGATGGAATTTCAATGCTTGCAAGAGATCTCTACAGTACATCTATTTCAGTGATAGCTAATCATTATTGATAATTAACAATTATCATGTGCCAGGTACTGTTGTATAGCACTTTTCATGTTTTACATAATTTAATCCTCACAGCAGTCCTGCAGGATGGTTACTATTATTAGCCCATTCTACAGATAAGACAACTGAGCCCGGAGAGATCTTACTCAAGTTTATCTGGCAACAGAGCACAGGCTCCTAATCTTGATCCCAATGACACCTGATTCATACTAACCCCATGTTCACAGGGTCAAAATGAGAATGAAATGAGCTATCACATGACAATGGTTCCGAACTGGGGATAATTTGGGCCCATCAGGAGACATTTGACAATATCTGAAGACATATTTGGTTGTCACCACTGGAGAAGTGCTGCTGGCATCTTATGGGTACAGGACAGAAATGCAGCTGAACAGTGCACAGGATAGCCCCATGCAACAAAGGATTGTCCCGTTCCAAGTATCAATCGGACGCATGTTGAGAAACCTCACCCTCGCCTCGTCATCTGCAGTCAATGAAACGCCTCCAAAACCTCAAATTCAAGATCCCCACTTTGACTTCACCTTCTGTCCTTATAGCTCCCTTAACTTAGTACCATCACTGCAAAAATTCTTCAGCCCTACTGAGGCTGTCAATCCACTGGCACCCACTTTTCACTATCACCCCATCCTTTTTGTTGTTGTTGTTGAGATGGAGTCTCGCTCTGTCGCCCAGGCTGGAGTGCAGTGGCGCGATCTTGGCTCACTGCAACCTCCTCCTCCCAGGCTCAAGTGATTCTCCTACCTCCGCCTCCTGAGTAGCTGGGGTTCCAGGCATATGCCATCATGCCTGGTTAATTTTTTTTGTATTTTTAGTAGAGATGGCGTTTCGCTATGCTGGCTAGGCTGGTCTTGAACTCCTAGCCTCAAGTGACCCACCTGCCTAAGCTTCCCAAAGTGCTAGGATTACAGATGTGAGCCACCTCGCCTGGCCTCTATCTTAACTTTTCTTTGAGTGCAGCCAAGACTCCATGATCTATCATTCTAATCACTCCCTTGCAGTCACCCTAACTCCTTCATACTCGCCTTGGTATTCAAACCATTTCTAAGGGTTATCTACTCTATCTCCACTTTCCCACTCACTCTCTTTGAAGCACTTTCCAATCTGGTTTCCACTCTCCTAGCCCTCTGACACTGCTTTCAACACAATTGCCAAGAGCCTCCAGCTGCCAATCCAATGGGCTCTTTCCTTTCTCTTCCCCTCCTCCCTTCACCTCTTCTTTCCTCCCTCCTTCTGTCTCTCTGTAGAGTTTAACACCATTTAACACTCTGTCCTCCTTCAAACACGCTCTTCTCTTGGGTTCAGGAATTGCCCTGGTTTTCTCCTACCCCTCTGGCCAGCCTTCTTCCCTTCCCTCCATGGCTCCATCTTCCCTCTGACTCCACAGAGCTGCCTTTCATCTTGTGCTTGAGCAACAGACTCATACATTCAACTGCCTCCTCGATAACTTGGAGCTGTAACAGTCATCTCATGCTTGATGAAAGTCCACAATGAGGCTGGGCATGGGGGCTCACATGCCGGTAATCTCAGCACTTTGAGAGGCCAAGTCGGAAGGACTGCTTAAGGCCAGGTGTTCAAGACCAGCCTGGGCAACAGAGGGAGACCCCATCTCTAAAAATGAAAAATTAGCGGGGTATGGTGGCACACACCTGCAGTCCCAGCTATTCGAAAGCCTGGGGTGGAAGGCTCTTTTGAGTCTGGAAGGTTGAAGCTGCAGCGAGCTATGATTGAGCCACTGCACTCCAGCCTGGGTGACAGAGCAAGATCTTGTCTCAAAAAGAAAAGAAAAGGCCAGGCACGGTGGCTCACGCCTGTAATCCCAGCACTTTGGGAGACTGAGGTGGGTGGATCGCAAGGTCAAGAGATCGAGACCATTTGGTCAACATGGTGAAACTCCGTCTCTAATAAAAATACAAAAATTAGCTGGGCATAGTGGCACATGCCTATAGTCCCAGCTACTCGGGAGGCTAAGGCAGGAGAAT